AGCTCTGAGTAGCCCTGCTGTCCTGGGACTCCTTGTGTAGGCCAGGCTCAGATCCACCTGACTACGGGTTTATAATGTATCACTGTCTGTGAAATTTGTTCTTATGTTAATTGGTGAGGATGTCAGATCCCCTGAAACCAGAGTTTCATGAACTGCCATGTAAGTGCCATGAATTAAACCTGGGTCCTCCAGAAGAGCAGTAAGTGCTCTTGAGTCCTGGGCCATCTCTCATTCCTAGCTTGTTTGTTTAAAGGTTTGTTTTGTTTGTATAAGAGGAGCCTGGTCTTTTTTTGTTTGTTTGTTTGTTTTTGTTTTTCTCGAGACTGTTTATCTATAGCTTTTGTAGCCTGTCCTAGAACTAGCTCTTGTAGACCTAAACCAGGCTGGCCTCAAACTCAAAGAGATCCACCTGCCTCTCTTGTACTGGGATTAAAAGCTTTCCCTGCCACTGCCTGCCGACTTTTTTTTTTAATACAAAGTTTCTTTATATAGTTGCGGCTGATCTTGAACTTAAGATTTTGTTGTGGTTAAAGCCATGCACTCACTATACCTGGGTGGTTTGTCTTTTTTTTAATACTTCATTTAACTTTATGTTTCTTGGTATGAAGCTGTCAGATTCCCTGAAGCTGGAGTTTGAGACAGTTGTAGGCTGCCATGTGGGTGCCTTGGTTGGTCTCTATGTGGAAGAGCTTCCTTGGCTGGACCCCTGTTCTGTTCTCATGTGTTTTTTTTTGTTTTTGTTTTTTTTTCTGTTTATGTAGGTGTTGGGAAACTTGCCAGTGTGCCTGCTGGTGGAGCTGTGGCTGTTTCTGCTGCCCCTGGCTCTGCAGCTCCTGCTGCTGGTTCTGCCCCAGCTGCAGGTAAGTAGAAGTCTGATGGGTGAGTGGTGATAAAAAGGGATTGGTACATAAGACTTGGTGTTGGGTATGGCTCCCAGGGCAGGGCAGCCTGAATGACTTCTTGGAGCAGTGCTTACTTTGGTGTTCCTCTACAGCAGAGGAGAAGAAAGAAGAGAAGAAGGAGGAGTCCGAAGAGTCGGATGATGACATGGGATTTGGCTTGTTTGATTAAATCTGTGCTCCCCTGCAAATAAAACCTTTTTATGTATCTTGAGTGGCCTTTACGTGTATTGTCAACATGTGTCATCCATGCTGTGTCCTTAAGCCAATCTCCACCCAGAGAGCTGGGTAGGGAGGAACTGGACCTCCTATGTGTCCTTTACTTATCTTAGCAGGGCCATTACTTGGAAGAATTGTCAAGCCCTGTGAGAGAATAGATAAAGATTTTACTTAACTCAAGCTTGAAGGGTGAAAATGATCTAGTTTCCTTGTAAGGATTGTGGTGTGAGATAGATGGCTTCCGTCATTAAGCTTTTCATTGTGTTCTAGCTAATGACCCATCCTCTACATTGGTCATATGTGGAAATGTGGGTGAAGGGTTTTGTGCTGGCTGTAAACTTAATCCTGGGGTGGGCAGAGTCTGTCTCACAGGCTACTCTGGAATGTGAAGCCCAGGCCTTTTTAACTCCCTCCACAAACTGATCAACAAGGGGTCGCTAGGTCTGCCTTTTAGGAGACATTTGAGTGTCAGAGGGGCTGGAGGCAGTCGCTCTGGTCCCAGGCTGTGGTGACACAGGCCTTTAATCCCAGCACTTGGGATGCCGAGGCAGGTGGATCTCTGAGGCCAGTCTGGTCTACAAGAGCTAGTTTCTGGACCACTAGGGCTGTTAGAGAAACCCTGTCTTGAAAAACAAAAATAGGGACTGCATGAAGCCGGGAAAGACAGTGGGTATAGAAAAGATCAGAAGCCATAGCTTCATAACTGGAGTGAGCTAGCTACAAGGGAGCAGGTAAAGCTATGTCTAGGGACAGGAGGGTCTATACCCTGAAGAAAGGAGCCTGTCCTCATAAGGCTGCTAGTGGGAGTTACCCGGTTTCAGCATTCTGAGAAAGGCCAACCATGTTCTTGGCACCAGCATCTCCCAGGGGCCTGAAAGCATGTGTACTCAAACAGCCTGATGCACTGTGAAAATAAGAGCAGAGGTCCTACTGAGCTGGGGAGGCACTGTCCCTTGGGCCTGTTACTGGAAAAAATTGTAGGGAGGATCTTAAATCTTATGACCACCATGGTAGTAAGCCCTAGGCTTGCTGGCTCTAAGGACTTGTTCCTGTAGTGTATCATGCCTCTAAACTGCATACCATATTTCCACCTTGAGAGCATTTGTTCTCAAATTCACTTATGTGGCCCAGGCAGTATGGGACAGATTTGCCTCGAGTGAAGGATCTTTAAAAGTCAAGTGAGCCAGGTGGTGGTGGTGGTGCATGCCTTTAATCCCAGTGGAGTTCAAGTTGAGGCTGGCCAGGGTGGTTACACAGAGAAACCCTGTCTCAAAAATTTGGGCCAGGGGTAGTATAGTGGCAGAGTACTTGCCTAACACCTAGGACCCCCTGGGTTTAAACCCCAGAATTAAAGGCATTTCCCCCACCACCGCCCTGCTAAAAGCACTGTTCCCAGTATCCACATTGGGTGGTCTGGTCAATCACAACTGTAGTTCAAAGGGATCTGACTTCTCCAGACTCTGGGCACCTGAACTCAGGTGCACCTACCCCTTCTACATAAGCATAATTGAAAAAGTAAACCATAAGCTATGTGTCGAGGTCCACTTGAGAGGTAGAAATGAGTATATCTGAGTTCCAAGAAAGCCAGGGCTGCAAACACTCAAAAACAAAATAAGGGGTTGGCGATATGGCTCAGCGATTAGGAGCACTGGCTACTTTCCCAGAAGACCAGGGTTCAGTTCCCAGCACCCACATGACAGCTCATAACTGTCTTTAACTCAAGTTCCAGGGGATCTCATACCTTTACACCAATGTATCTATCTTAAAAAAAAAAAAAAATTCAGGTGGTGGCAGCACACGACTCAAATCCTAGCACTCAGGAAGCAGAGGCAGGCGGATCTCTGTGAGTTCAAGGCAGCCTGGTCTACAAGAGCTAGAGCTGTTATACAGAGAAACCCTGTCTCGAAAAAAACCCAAGCCAGGCGGTGGCGCACGCCTTTAATCCCAGCACTCGGGAGGCAGAGACAGGCGGATCTCTGTGAGTTCGAGGCCAGCCTGGTCTACAGGAGCTAGTGCCAGAACAGGCTCCAAAGCTACAGAGAAACCCTGCCTCGAAAAACAAACAAAAAACAACCAAAAGTTCTATTACATTTTCCCTGGACTCTGTTTATCTGATTGTTTGCCAAAGCTCTACTCAGTAATCCCAGGATACCTTACTCACTTTGACTCCAGTGTGCTGGGGCACTGTTGACCTCACCTTGTTAGCCTGTTCCTATACCCATGCCTGAGCTGAATTGTGCTGAGTGTGAAATGGCTCCATCACAACCAGGATGAACAGAGAAATGTCTCCTGTGCCCTTGCAGCCACACAGCTCTCCATTCCAGATGCTGGGATCCCTTCTCTGCCTTCACTTCTTTCCCTCCATCTACCACCATGTCTCCTGGCTTCATGCCCTGGAGACCACCAGAGGGATTTTTAAAGCCAGCCCTGGCACCCATTCACCCAGCCTTCACTCTGCTGGTGCACATTTCCTTCTCTTGATGGCTGACATCCAGGGGTTTTCAACATTATTGACCAGACCACCTGCCAAAGAACTGTACTCCCTTTTCTGGGAAAACCTCACAAAGTGACTAATAAACTCAACTGCCTCAATCCCATCCTCCTCGTGACATGTGTAGGATCCCTTTGAGTGTTTACTCCCTACACACTTCCTTCTCCAGCTGCAAGCCTGTATGGTGTACCTTTTAAAGGCTCTAATCCCAGCACTTGAGAGGCAGAGGCAAGTGCAAGACTTCAAGGACTGAAGTCCATAGATAAGGAAAAAAGTGTATCAGCACTCCTTTAGCTTATATCTAAAATCAGTTTATTTCTAGATTAAACAGCTTCAAAATCCCTCGAAGTTGCACACATGGCTACTGCTCAGGCAGGTAGGCACATTACTATGGCTGGTGCTTGGCTCTTGAGTGCCTGCCTCTCATTTGTATGCTTAATAAACTAACTTCATTCCTACTGGTTTTGGAATTCTTTGTGGTTCATGTCAAGGACCTGGGTCACCTGAGTAAGAGTCACTGTGGCTCAGAGATCTTCTGGCTGAGTTGTTGGTAACTCATTTGTACTACTGCTGTTGTGACAGGCCTAAAGTTGAGTTTCTGGGAGTGAGAATTTCTGGGCACAAAGACACTGTCACCCATCGCCCCAACCTGGGCCTGCTCCTTGTAGGGCTGTTCCTGGGTCTAAGCTAGCCAGCCTGTCCCACAGCTGAGGGAACAATGCGGGGGAAAAAGGGCGGGAGGATGACAATATCCAGGAGTTCACCGCCTCCTGGGACAACTAGTTAGGGTGAGGTCTTAGTCTGAGAACAGGTAGACCTCATAAATTAGGAGCCAGGATCATCAGATAGCTATAGGCCCAGGAGCCAGGGTATCGAGGGACCCCCTTAGGGTGAGTGGGACTTGTCTGTGGCAGCGTTTGTTTGCTGGGCCAGTGCCAGTCTGCTGTTGGGCCCATGGGTTTTGGGAGCTGAAGTCTGAATGGCTCAGGTTTTCGGGTCCAAGGGGGTTCTACCTCTGCGTTTTCACCCAGGTCCCAGTACTTTTGTGTCTGCGTGGGTGTCCCTGGAGAAGGGGGAGGCTCCTGTTCACAAACCAGAGCTCTTCTTAGCTCCAGTACCCAGGTCTGTATGGAACTCTCACCTCTCTACTTACTCAGGCCATACCAAGGCCAGCGGCTGCCCACGCTGTGGGGTCGAAGGAAGGAGGCCAAGGAGTTAGGAGGCCCTCCGGATCACTCAGCCGGCTTGGCCCAGCAGGTGTCGTGGAGAGGCGGGGCCTCGGGGGCGCGGCCGTTCCCGGCGCGATCCAGTTGGGTCGCGCGCCCAGGTCCTGCCCCCTGCCGACCGGGCTCCGCCCTCGTCCCGCACTAAAACACCTCCTCCTCTGCCTGCCGGCACAGCGTCTCCGCCTCCGCCGGCGGGGACCCCAAGCTACCGCGACTGCGGGACCCACAGCCCGCTGGACACTGAGCCACGATGTTCCCGAGGGAGACCAAGTGGAATATCTCGTTCGCTGGCTGCGGCTTCCTCGGCGTCTACCACATTGGCGTGGCCTCCTGCCTCCGAGAGCACGCGCCCTTCCTGGTGGCCAACGCCACGCACATCTACGGCGCCTCGGCAGGGGCGCTCACCGCCACGGCGCTGGTCACTGGGGCCTGCCTGGGTGAGCCGAGTTGCGCGGAAGTTGAGCAGGGTGTGGTGGGTACCGCGCGGGCCCGGGTGGATGCTCTAGCGTCCCACGCCCAACCCGCGTAGGGAAGCTGATCCAGCAGCTAGCACAGTAGGCGCGGTGGAGGGGGCGTCTCTGCTCGTATCCCGGAACTACTACCGAAGGTCCAATTTTGAGTCCTGGTCGGGGCGGGTTCTGTTTTGTTTTGTTCAGAGTGTCTAGGGTTTGGGGTGGGGGCATGGCTCTATCCTGGCTGGTGGCATTCCCTCTGGTGCCCGCGTAACCCACCTCTAGGGGCACAAAAGTTGGTGACAGGCAGGTGCTGCCAGACTGTGTTATTGGAAAGAGAAAGTAAATAGTGGGCGGGACCGGCAGAGAGAGAGAGAGAGAGAGAGAGAGAGAGAGAGAGAGAGAGAGGAGGGGCATACTTTACCCGAACAGGCTGCCAGCGGTCACTGCGTCCTGAGCCTCTGCTGCTGCAAAGTGCTGTGCTTCTGGGGCCTAGTACAAGGAAGGGTACCTGGAATGGGCATCTGGACACTGTGGTATAGTCCCTAAAGGGACCCCTGAAGGCAGAGTCCAGCTGGAGTCAGGGCTGGGCATAAGTGCTTCCACTGTCCATGGTGTAATGACAGCCTGACTCCCCAGCTGTGGCCAGCTGACCCACTTGGGGGGGGGTGGCCATACTTCTGTGCTCTGACCTGTTTCAAGAGTACAGAAATGGAAAGGGGGGGCTGGGTCTCCAGCTACTGCCATGGTACTTCCGGCTACCACGTGGGTTGTTGTTTACAGCACACAACGTTCTTCCTCCTTAAGAGTCCTGGGAACTGCTGCCCATCCCCCCATCCCATAGGTCAGCCAAGGTGACCAGGGAGTCCAGCTCAGCTGGGGCCTCTCTAGGGTTCTCTGCTGTCTCTCTCCCATCACCTTTGCCCTAAGGAGGGAAAAGGAGAAGTTCCTGGTACCTTGGGAGTTCACCCTGTGATCTTGCCCACTGGCTCTCATGGAGGCCCTCAGAAGAGTGGGTATAGTGGCTAGTTGGTTTCAGACATACACCAAGACTCCACCTGAGTTGGAAATGAATTAGGGATACCAGTCTCACAGAACTACTTACTATCAGTACGTCTCACAGGTGATCCTGAGCAGTAGAACCATGACACTGTGGCAGGTGGCAGCTGTGAGCCCTTGGTCTGTGTATATTCCATGCCTGCTGTGAGGGAGTCTTAGAGGAGGCCATAGATGGCCAGGGAAAAACACTATACTCTCCTGTCCCTGGTGACTCTTCTTCTGGGTGGGCCAGCACCCATGGGCTCCTAAGAGTGTTAGAGTGCTTGCTATTGGCTGAAGTGAGACCATCGTATCCTCCCAAGAGGTAGGATCCCCATTTTAGCTTGATATTCTCGAGGTTGTGCCTCCTGGGCTGAACTGGGCTTTGTGGAACTGCCCACCCACCCGTATCTGGTCAAGTAGGTGAAGGTTGAAGCAGGTCAGAGTTGACCCTATGTCCCCCACTCTCTGGGCCACGTGCCATACCATGTTAGGCACAGTGACTCATGGGGACAGACAGTTGGGAAATACCAGGCATAGGGCAGGTTCCAATCCCAGCTTGCCATCCCCAGGGTGGTGGCCTGCCTCTTTCCACTTAGGTGGCAAAGTCCCAACTGTGAGCCAGTCCCCAGTGTGGACATGGGCGTCTTAAGGATCAACAGACTGTCACACATCTGAGTACCTCCTGGGTGTGGAGTCCTGGGGGAAGCATGATCACTAAACTGGGAGAGTTATCACTAATCCTGGTCCTGCTGTCCCAGGTGAAGCAGGTGCCAACATTATTGAGGTGTCCAAGGAGGCCCGGAAGCGATTTCTGGGCCCTTTGCACCCTTCCTTCAACCTGGTGAAGACCATCCGTGGCTGTCTACTGAAGACCCTGCCTGCTGATTGCCATGAACGTGCCAGTGGACGCCTGGGCATCTCCCTGACTCGGGTTTCAGATGGAGAGAATGTCATCATATCCCACTTTAGCTCCAAAGATGAGCTTATCCAGGTAGGCCCTGAAGAAATGGTGCTGGGGGGGTATGGGATTAACTCAAGGCCGGTACTACTACTGCCCTGGATCTTGTCCTTCAGGCCAATGTCTGCAGCACTTTTATCCCTGTATACTGTGGCCTCATCCCTCCTACCCTCCAAGGAGTGGTAAGTATGTATCCCTGCTTAGCCCTGCCCTGGAATGACAAGCATCATCTACTGTCTAGGCCGTAGGATAAAGGGGTGGAGGAGAAAGGCCAGCAGGGCACCTCGCTCCTCTCCAGTCCCTCACTGCCTACTGCCTGTTGCCTCACTTCCCATGACTCAAGATGCAGGGCAGCCCTGGGGAGATGCACACTTCCTGTGGCTGGTGCCCATTTCAGTTCCATCTGTTTGCCCGTTTGCTGAGTCCCCAGGGGCCAGTGCCTAGTGGGCAAAAGGCTCAAATGGAATAGCTACCAGATAGAGCTTCCAGAACACCCAGCGGGCCCCTAACCATGTGGCTATGAATGTGTGTTCTTGCAAAGCGCTATGTGGATGGCGGCATTTCGGACAACTTGCCACTCTATGAGCTGAAGAACACCATTACAGTGTCCCCGTTCTCAGGAGAGAGTGACATCTGCCCACAGGACAGCTCGACCAATATCCATGAGCTTCGCGTCACCAACACCAGCATCCAGTTCAACCTGCGCAATCTCTACCGCCTCTCAAAGGCTCTCTTCCCACCCGAGCCCATGGTGAGCCAGCACAGCTAGTCCTGACTGCGCTGGGGAGAGAGCTGCTGGCAACTTCTCAGCGCTGGGACAGCGCTGGGACTCGTGTATGCTTTTCTAAGCCAGGCCAGGTTGTCCGCGGAAGCAGCTGTTTCAGGGACTTACCTGTTACAGCAGGACGTAACTGCGCCGGGTCTGGACTGATGTATCCATTCCTCTCACAGGTCCTCCGGGAGATGTGCAAGCAGGGCTACAGAGACGGACTTCGATTCCTTAGGAGGAATGGTGTGTGGGCAGCTCTGGGTTGGGAGAAGCTGGCTCTGCAATGCCCCCTGCTGACCATAAACTCTGATGGCATCTGTCACCCCATTCCCAACCCAGGCCTGTTGAACCAGCCCAACCCCTTGCTGGCGCTGCCCCCAGTTGTCCCCCAGGAAAAGGATGCAGAGGAAGCTGCTGTGTCTGAGGAGAGAACTAGGGAGGAGGACAAATTGCAGCACCATGGACAGGATCGAATTCTAGAGCACCTGCCTGCCAGACTCAATGAGGGTGTGCCATGGGGAGGGAGGTCGGGGGGAAGGAACAGGGTCCTTTTGGAGAAGCTTGGCCAGGAGGTCTGGGAGGCTTCCACTGCCCTAACTGGCTACCGCCTTCCTACCTGCAGCCCTTCTGGAGGCCTGTGTGGAGCCTAAGGACCTGATGACCACCCTCTCCAACATGCTGCCAGTGCGCCTGGCCACTGCCATGATGGTGCCCTATACTCTGCCACTGGAGAGTGCAGTGTCCTTCACCATCCGGTGAGGGTGGGAAGGGGAGTCTGAGGAGAACACATCAACATATCATACATCGGAGATGGAAGTCTAGATCACCCCTGAGCCATAAGCTGCTTGGGAGATGTGGGGAGGGTAGATGTCAGTATCTGGCGGGTGACCATCAGAGCCTAAACTGCCGTTTCTGAGGTCATACTTGGTGCTGCCTTGCTAGCTTGTTGGAGTGGCTGCCCGATGTTCCTGAGGATATCCGGTGGATGAAAGAGCAGACAGGCAGCATCTGCCAGTACCTGGTGATGAGGGCCAAGAGGAAACTGGGTGACCACCTACCTTCCAGGTGAGCTGCCACGGCTGCCTATCCACCCGGAGCCTGGGGCCTGGGCCCTCGGACCCTCACTAAAGTCTTCCTTTCCTCCATGCCTCCCCCCCTTGTAGGCTGTCTGAGCAGGTGGAGCTGCGTCGAGCCCAGTCTCTGCCCTCTGTGCCACTGTCTTGCGCCACCTACAGCGAGGTATTGCCCAACTGGGTACGAAACAACCTCTCACTGGGGGACGCGCTGGCCAAGTGGGAGGAATGCCAGCGTCAGCTGCTGCTGGGTCTCTTCTGCACCAATGTGGCCTTCCCTCCGGATGCCTTGCGAATGCGCACACCGGCCAGCCCTGCCTCCACAGACCCAGCCACCCCACAGCATCCACCTGGCCTCCCACCTTGCTGAGAACCATCATTCCCAGTTTCCTCTGCTACCAGCCAAGCTCCGAGTCGCCCTGCCCCACTTTGAGGAGCTCTGGGGTAGACCAAGCCCCTGTCCCTTAGCTCTCTCCCTTACATGTTGTGGAATGAGGACATAGGACCCTGCACAGCTGCAAAAGGGGGGGTTGATGTAAAACATTTTACCAGCCACTCACCGTGCTGCTCCCGGCGGGGAGGGCTGAGGTGCATCCTCTCTGGGAGCCCACAGAGCCCTTCCCTCTCCCCTGCCCACCACCTTCTCAGTGCAGGGTCAGTCTTGAGAACTCCACAGCTGCTGCTGCTGCTCCCCGTTCTTCAAGTTTCCTTGCAGAGTGTGTCAAGAATTATTTATTTTTGCCAAAGTAGATATAATAAAAACCACAGCTCAGCTTCCGCCGTCCTCCCCTCACATGTTACTCTGGCCTCTGACCGAGGTCGGCGGACAGAGCCGTCTCTCCTATGACCAGTGTCTCAATAGCTAACTGCTGGGCCTCGCAGAGATGCTTTGAGACCCGGCAGCTGGCGACCCTCTCCTAGGGTTAGCCCTCTGGCAAGGACTCATGGATGCAGCTCTGCTTGCCCAGAGGCCTCCTGACTGTCTTCTTGGGCAGTGCATCAAGTGCCAGCTGATATGTTTAGGACTGAGAACCTCAGTATAATAAAAACTAAAATGTTGGGTTGGAATAACTCAGTGGTCGAGCCCTTGTCCAGCAGGCACCAGGCCGATTCCATCTCAAGCACTAGGGGGAAGATGTTTACAAAAGGTGTCACCCGCACATCCGCTCCACGCGGTGACACAGTGAGGGTGTGGATCAGGGCTGACTTCAGGGCTGGGTCCCTGTGAAGGGTGAAGCTTGTGGACCTGAGGCCTGGGGACCAGGGAAGCTCAGTCCCGGGCCCAGACTGGGCGCCTTGCTCAGAACTTGGTGCTTGGCTCTTCTTTCTCGGTTGTCACACTCCTCATTGCCAGGTGCGTGTGTGCATGTGCCTTTTTTGTCCTGTGACCATACCTGTTTCCTCCCATAACCTTGGGAGTGGTCTGGAGTACCGAGGCAAGGTAGTAAGGTCCTAACTCAAGGGAGCAGCTCACCTTGGTTTCCTGAAAGTATCCCCTGCTGGGATGTGTGTGGTGGTGTGCAGTCTCCGAGGAAGGAGAACTGGGAGGGGTGTGTTTAGCTATCAATCTGCGGGACTTGGCTTAGTCCTCCCTGCTCAGCACCCGTTTGGCCCCTCCCAAAAGGTGCACAGAGACTGCGGTTGCAGCCCCTAGCCAACAATAACGGTTGGTCTGGTTATGGGACCTGGGACAGCAGGACTGGGCGAGCCGGCCAGGCAGGTCCCTGGCCTAGGTGCCAGGGGCCGCCCCTCCTCTTGTCTCCAGGTCCTGTCCTATAGGGCCAGCCTGTTGTGGTTCTACTTGAGAAGCACAGGGCCCCCCAGCGCCTCCGCAGCCTGTGACACCCAGGTCAGCTTTTTCAGGTCAGTTTAGGGGCTTGATGGGGGGGGGCATACCCTTGGAAGTGGATGGATTTCCTCCGAAGTAGAACTTTGGCACCATCTCCTAGAGTTCTCCTAGGCCTAGGAGGACCCTGATCAGGACTGTGCCCCAAAAGGAGCACTGGGGGCAGACTGCTGAGGTGGCCTCACTGTGGCCTCACACTTCATTCACACGGGAGTGCCGCTAACGCTCATGTCTTTCGCTAGCATTCAAACTTAGAAGACTCCAAGCTGAAAAAGTATAGAGACGAAAAGTCTAGTCTCCCCAGCCCTAGATACGGCCACTGAAAGTATTTGGTCTATTTCCTGCTCGGCATTTTCCTACACACACTTCTTGGCACCCTAAGTCTGGATATTCCGGGCGGAGTGGGGGCTGGTATCTGCACCTCCGCGGCCTTGATCCTGTCCTGGAAGGGTCTTGGGGTGGGGGTGAGGAACACGACGTCAACATTGCTGCTCCCTGTGGCTCTCCCGGGAGAGTTAGCCACCCTGAGTCGGGCCATCAAGATAGGAGAGGCGGGACAAAGCAACAGCAGCGCTCCGGTGGATTCACCCGGACGTACTATCACGGGGTCTCCCCGCCTGTAAGGCCGCAAGGTCGCTGTGGGTCCGGGCCCCTCGCAGGCTGTCGGGGTCCGGGCAGAGGCGGGGCGCGCCGTGCGTTGCGTTTCCGGGAGGAGCGGCCAGTCTGCGGCAGGTGCGGCGGTGCGGCTCGCAGGTAGGTATTGGTTCGCAGGTCCCGCGGCTGGGGTCCCAGCACCGCAACTGCCGGGCTTCCCTAACCCCAACCCTGGGATCCCGGCCCCGGTGGTCGCACCTTCGGGCTGTTGTGTGGAGTGGCGACCGCACGCGTCTCTCTGGGACGGCTGTGTTCCCGAGGTACACCACAGCTAGCCTAGACGTCTGTGGATGAGATTTGCCTGTGGGCCCACCCGTTGCCTTTCCTCTGGACTCCCCGGAGCATGGCTGCAGCTCAGCTTCCGGCTGGGATGGACCTCCGGTCCTGTAAAGCCCTGGAGCCGTTGCTGACCGTGTCTGGTTGAAGAGAGAGTAGCCGTCAAAGGGCAATGATTCCAGGTTGTCCTTTCCTGCTGCTTCCTCGTGTTTGCTAATTGGATTATCATCCCTCTCCTCCTGGAATATGGGTAGGGGGACTGAGAAGTGAGATAACCGGTTTGAGTTGGTGTCACTGGGCTGTAGCTTTGGGAAACCTGAGGTTAGGGCACTGTGGGACACACAGGTTGTCCTGCTTAGAGGTGGGATGTTCATTCCAGGAGGTGAGAGGGAGGCTCCCAGGGAAGAGAAAAGGATCTGAGGCTGTCTTAAACCAAGATGTGGGGGTGTTTCTTACAAAAGCTGTCCAGTGCCTGGGGCTGGGACCTTGCACCTGCACCCTTAAGGCCTCATTGGCAGGTGGGAGTGGCTGATGGAGTTTACTCTCTGCTTGCCAGCTGTCAGAAGGCCAGGGTATCACAGGCTCCGGCCTGAGGCTAAGGACTTGGTCAGGAGTGATTCAGCCCTCTTCCTTAGGTAGCCCCAGCTTGGGCTTTCCCAAGGCCAGGATGTGGCCGATCTTCACCGTCTGGCCCTCTGTCACTGCAAAATCTCTCTCCGGGCTGCCAAGAGCTGGCCACCTGTTTCTACAACTCCACCCTCTCACTTTTCTCCTCTTCCTCCTTTTTTGATTCTTAGAGACAAGGCTTCTTTGTGTAACAGTCCTGGCTGTCCTGAAATTCACTTGGTAGATCAGGCTGGCCTCGAGCTCACAGAGATCTGTCTTCGTCTGCCTCCTGAGTGCTGGGGCTACAGGCTTATGCCATTATGCCTGGTTTCTCGTCCCCCCCCCTCTCTTTCTTTCTTTCTTTTTTTTTGAGATAGGATCACACTACATAGCTTTGGCTGTCTTGGAACTGCTGTATAGAGCAACCTGGCCGTGAACTCTATCTAACTTTGCCTCCAGAGTGCTGGGATTAAGAGTGTGTGCTGACCGGACAATGGTGGCGCACTCCTTTAATCCCAGCACTCGGGAGGCAGAGGCAGGCGGATCTCTGTGAGTTCGAGACCAGCCTGGTCTACAGAGCTAGTTCCAGGACAGGCTCCAAAGCCACAGAGAAACCCTGTCTCGAAAAACCAAAAAAAAAGAGTGTGTGCTGCCCGGCGGTGGTGGCACGCAATTTTAATCCCGGCACTTGGGAGGCAGAGGCGGGTGGATCTCTCTGAGTTCAAGTTCAGCCTGGTCTACAGAGTGAGTTCCTGGACATGCTCCAAAGCTACACAGAGACACCCTGTCTCAGAAAATAAAATAAAATAATAAAATAAAAGTGTATGCCACCTCAGGACAGCCAGGACCATCACACAGACAAACCCTGTCTCCTAAACCAAAAACAAACAAAGTATATGCCACCATAGCAGACACCCTCACTTTCTTAAACCAGCTCTGTCCTGGGAGCCTTTTTCCCAAATCTCGACTTCCTGAGATGGCTGGTCCTGGGCAGCAACTCTGGTACCAAGTCTGTCTGCTTCAGCCCATCCCAGTGACACAGAGCACCCCGTCACAACGCTTTGCCTTCTGTTCATTTTCCTACCTGGAGCAGGCAGGTCCCAAGCCCTCGCTCTGTCTGTACCCTCTGCCACACCTTCATCCCCCCTCCCATGTCTTCTAACTTTCCCTTGGCTTCACAGCACCCACTAGAGCCAAGATTTGCTCCTATGGCCAGCCCTGGGCAGCCTGCGCCTGGGGAGGGCCAGCAGGAAGAGGAGACAGAGGGAGTCTCAGCAGGGCATCGTGCGGAAGTGCTGCGGCAGGCCCAGGAGCTCTTTCTGCTGTGTGACAAGGATGCTAAGGGCTTCATCACTAGGCGGGACTTACAGGTGAGCTACAGCTCCCAGAGGCTGCCAGGCCCAAGGCCGACCTTGGCTGCTCACCTTGGTCTTTCTTGCCTGGCTAGGGCCTACAGAGTGATCTGCCCCTTACGCCTGAGCAGTTGGAGGCTGTGTTTGAAAGTCTGGACCAGGCCCACACTGGCTTCCTCACAGCCCGGGAGTTCTGCCTAGGCCTGGGTGAGCAGGTCCCAGCCACCTGGAGACCTTACTGAGGCCCCTGTGAGACTCTACCCAGCCTGTGTCTTTCACAACTCCCCAAGCATTCCTGTCTACAGTCACCTTGTGAGCTGCAACACCCCCAGCTACTCTGTTGCGCATTATGGTCTGCCCTCCCCCAATCTCTTCTCTGCCAACCCAGGTGGGGCGGGGGAGCTGGCTGTCATTTCCCATTCCCAGGCCAATAGAACCAGAACAAGGAAGAAAAACAGGAAACTGGGCCTTGAGAGAGGGCAGGATGTGTTGTGTGTGACGGGGGAGTTGGGGAGGTCCTGGGTGTTAACCCACAGTCCTGGTCATCTTTCCCCCCATGTCTGCAGGGAAGTTTGTGGGGGTAGAGTGGGCCCAAAGTGGGTCCTTGAGGACGCCTGAGGAAACCTTTGAGTCAAGCACAGGGGGCTCTCTGGAAGAGGACGACGATGTTGAGACATTCTGCACTTCTTTAGAGAAGCTGGGAGTGGCCCGGGTTCTGGGCGAGTGAGTTGACGATGGGCCCACTCCCTTTTCTCGCTTGTTCCTTCTCAGCAAGTTCTGTCCACCTTGCCTGCCTCTCTGTTGCCACGGAACCCCTAGGCCGGGCTAGTTTATCTTTTGTTAGTTGTGGCTGTCTGGGAGAGTGGCCTGGCGTGATTTTCCTCAGGATTTGCATTTCAGGAGGCTATAGCCCTGCAGGGCAGGGCGCCACCAGACACCTAGTAACCCACTGGCATAGCTCTCGGTACACAAGCCACCTTGCAGACTAGGCAGGCATGAAGGCACACTCCATAGGGATGAGCCGTGCGCGGCCGAAGTGCTGCCAGTTCTGGGCCGCTGGGTTCTCCCAGGGGGTTCACCGTCCGCAAAGGGGACACTCTCCCCCTGCACCTGCCAGCTCCAGTCTCCGTTCTCGCCCTCTAGGCAATGGGCGGTGAGGACACTCTGGGTCGGGCTGCAGCGCGAGCGACCGGAGCTCCTGGGCTCCCTGGAGGAAGTTCTGATGCGCGCGTCGGCCTGCCTGGAGGCGGCGGCCCGGGAGCGCGACGGTTTGGAGCAGGCGCTGCGGCGGTGAGGGCTGGCCTGGCGAGGTTTGGGGGGGGGGGAGTGTCTCACGAGGGGACAGAGACGAAGCTGGCAAATGATCTGAGCATGCCTGTGATATCCCGGTTCCTCGAAGGCGGGAGAGTGAGCACGAGAGAGAGGTGCGCGGACTCTACGAAGAGCTGGAGCAGCAGCTGGGGGAGCAGCGACACCGCGGCCAGAGCCAGGTGGGCCCGCGTATGCCACGCCCAGCCTCGCTGGCTTCTCTGGCTCCGCCTTCCCCGAACTGGTCCCTCCTCGAAGGACTCACCTCCCGGGAGTCCAAGCTGCCCCAAGTCCTGGGAACTCTGCCTCCGCAAGTACCCCCTCCCGCGCTCTCCACCCCTTCGCTCCCCACCCTTGCCTCTCTGCCTGCCTCCTCTGAGCCGGGTGCAGAGGCTCTAGTGCGGCTGTACATCCCAGAAACTAGCCCGGGAGGAACAGAGGGGCCACCTGGAATTGGAGCTGCAGACCCGCGAGCAGGAGCTGGAGCGCGCAGGCCTGCGGCAGCGGGAGGTACGCCCTAGTCAGTTCACGCCTGCATCCTCGCACAGACTCAACTTCTTTGGGGGTTCCTTGTGCCTCCGGGTCCTCGGCTAAGGAGCCTCAGGGGCAAAGGGTCAGTTTGGAATTGTGGGTGGGGGGAGCGTGGATCTCCAGCAGCCTCCCACCATTCCCCAGCTGGAACAGCAGCTTCAGGCTCGGACTGCGGAGCAGCTAGAGGCACAGGCCCAGCACACCCAGCTGCGTAGGGCCTATGAGGCCGTGCGGGCACAGCTGGATCAGGCGCAAGAGCAGCTCAGCCGACTGGAGGGCGAAGCGCAGGGTCGTCAGGAGCAAACCCAAAGGTGCCATGAGGTGCCTGTGGTGAGGGTAGAGGGTCCATTCCCCCACCTCGCATCTGGATCACCACCTTCTACCCACAGAGATGTGGTTGCTGTCTCCAGGAACATGCAGAAGGAGAAACTCAGCCTCCTAAGGCAGCTGGAGCTGCTGAGGTGGGTCAGACCTACCTGGGCTGTGTGGAGAAGTGGTTTCAAGTTCTCACATATTCTTGCCTCCTACCCATCTTGCTGGAAGTCTTTATGTCTGCCCTATAGCCTCTGGACTCAGGGGGACCAAACCTACCTTCCCCACCCGCTGCCTCCTCTAGGTCTTAACCCCCTCAGTCTCAAACTCTTCTTCTCTAGGGAGCTAAACCTGCGGCTTCGGGATGAGAGAGATGCCTGTGAGACTAAGCTGCTGGGCAGCAGTCACAGGAAGGCTCTAGCTATTGCCCACAAGCCTGGGCCCACCTACTGCTGCTGCTGCTGTGGCTGGGCTCGGCCCCCCAGAAGAGGTTCTGGCCATCTTCCTAGTGCACGATGACCAGCCCCAAATGACTCACTGGGACTTTCTTATGACCAGCCGGTTATGTGTGGTGGTTGTCTGCTAAGTATGTGGCCGGAAGGCATCACCTGCCTGAAGGAGCTACCCTCTGAGTGGTCAAGGCCTTCCGTCTCCATCCTGTCTTCATCTCTGTTTAGCGGACCAATAAAGGCCACTGACCACTGTGCGCTTCTTGCCTTTTGTGTGTCTGGAAAGCACAGCACATTTGTGGTTCATGCTTGGCGTCCGTTGCACAAGGGAGACATGGAGAGATTCACAGGTTCATACTAACCTGCCATTCCCGTGGCTGTGGGTTCCTGTGTGCTTGTGTATGTTCTGTGAGTCTGGTCCCTTCCTCACCATCCTTCTCCGCTGAAGCTCCAAGGACTCAGGTTTCAACAAGCGTCCACTCCCATGCCGGTCCTTAATGTGGAAAGGGAGTCTTGCCCCTCACTTCCATGGTCAGTTACTCTGGTCCAGGCCCCTACTCCCTCATCCTCTGGCACTGTTCCTAGACAGGCCATATGCCCTCCTGACTTGGTACTTCTTGCAGGGCCCTCACATGTCCGTGGGTTTCCCGGCTCTCATCACCACACTGTACCTGGAGCTTCCCCTCTGGCATTTCCTCAGCCGCTAGAACCTGCAGCCTCAGAGTGGTTCCCTGGCTTTGACTGGAGGAGAATTTGGTCTTGGTCTCAGTTCTGGGCAATGGTGGTCTAGGTGCCACCTTCTCCACCTCTCCACTCCCCATCCGGGTTCTGCCTCCCGCCTAGCTCTTCTGTCTCTGAATGAGTAGGGGGTCTTGGTGACCACCGGCGCCCTCAAGTCAACTTTCCGGCCGCACAGACGGGGCAGGTTCCAGGTCTCGCCGTGCTGTGAGGTCTCCCGCGCGCCTTTGCACCAAACCGGTTGGGACTTGCCCAATCCAGGCCGGCCGTAGGCGGGGCTGCGCCCGGAGCGGGGTGGCTCGCGGGGCGTGTCCTCGCAGGCCCCGGGCTGAGCATTCTGAGCACTCCGAGCGAACACTCCTATAGCCGCCGCCGGGGCTGATACTCCAAAGTGTGGTTGGTGAGTGCTCCACGGAGCCAGGTCGTAGGGTGTGGGGATCAGCGTCCCGAGTGCCTCGCGCACCGATGTCTGTAGTCCTCACCGCTGGCCTCGGGGACGCCCAGGAGGCAGCTCCAGTAGGAAGCGCTGCAGGCTCCTTTCCGGAAGATCGACGCCGGGCGGGAGAGTAGAAGCGGAGGGGGAAGGGAGAGGGCCTCCAGGCTTCTTGGACAGGCCTGGCGGTCCCTTTCATGAAGAAACCCAGAGAGTCAAAATCGGAGCACCCGATTCATTGTCCCTGGACACCGGTTCCCTCCCCCTGAGACCGCAGATCCGCCCATTGGTATGGGGGGTGGGAGTGGGGAAACGGGGAGGGGCGGTAGTGACTTCATTTCGGTGACGCGGGGATTCCTCGCCTAGCCGCCTTCAGTCCCTCGGTGAGGCGGGTGCCAAGTGCCATGGAGGGCACAGAAGTCCAGGGGCTGAGTGTAGGGCGGTTGTGTCCAGGCCCAAGAGCTATTTCTGGCTGATCGCGTCTCCCACGCCGGCCCTTTCTCAGGAAATTAACATTCAGTCCGCTGACTGTGCCTTAGGTTGCTGGGTGTGTTCAGAAGCAGCACCCCAGAGATTCTGAGCTTTTAGAGACTGCCCCCGGGGCATGTATTGTGGTCGGGCCTCTGTTTGTGTCATGCCCTTCCTTCAGTGAGATGGCGTGTATTTGGGTCCCATTTCCAAATGAAGGTCTGTAATTTCTCCCATCCCCAGTGGTAGACAGTTGATCCCCCGCCCCCTCCAGTCTGCAGTCGTTGCTGTTTGGTGGGGGAGGGACAGTGGTGGATGGATCTGGAGGGTGGAGCACCTGGAGAAGGCATTCGGTTCCTCCCTAGATCAGGCTGGCCAGCAATATCCTCTGCCCCACCCTGGTCCAGAAGAAAATAGTAGGCCTGACTGTTTTGCCTGCTTCCAGATCAGGTGGCGCTGGAACTCCTTCTGACCACTGCATCAGCCGCCAGAGGAGGAGTGGCACGATCCCACCTGCCAGGTGAAGGGCAGACCACTGACTTTTGACCTCTACCAGTTGTTCTTTCTGACTTACACAGGTGAGTGCTGAGTGCTTGGGCAGAGCCTGCAGGTGGCAGGGGAAAAGTCCTGCATAGTGGCATAGTGCCTGTCTAGAAACCTGGCCTGGGGTTGGGGTGTTCAGCTGAGGTCTGTCTGTACTGCATATGGTCCCCAGGGCAGACACTGTTATGTCTAGGGCAGGATGTGCCTAGGGGACCTTTTGGGGAATGGCACATCCACTTCTATGGAACTGAGGGCCCCCTCCTACTGTCTGGAGGGGAGCTGACTGTGCAGGCTCCACCTACCGGCACCTCTATTGTCCCTGCCCTGGCTGAGAGTAGAGAGGTTGCTCCTTGAGCCCTCACGGTCTACCTGAGGTCGGTGTGCACTCTGCTTCTCTGCCACATCTGGGGTATTAGTGCTAAGCAACCAGCCTGATGTGGGGCTCCGGGAATGCTGTGGGGGTGGCAGTCTACAGGAATGCATCCCGTCCCGTCGTGTCGTCCCGTGCCCCTTCCCCCCCGCCCCCCCCCCCCCCCCCCCGTTGCCAGCAGGAACGAGTCACCAGATCTTTGAGGGTCTTCCATGACAATTCAGTATGGGTGTCTGGCTGTGAGGAGGAGTGTTAGACCTGACCAGTTGTCCAGGAAGTGACTCATACGTTTCCTGGGAAGGCTCCTCTCAAGGCAGATTGCTGGCTGAGCTCCCAACTCTGGAAGTATCTGGGGGATGGCTGCATCCCCTCCTGTCCCATTGGTTTGGAGCTTTCTCTTCCTAATTGGAGGCCTGGTACTTCCGGCCATCTGACCTCCACATTTCTGCAGGCCCAGCATGGGTGAATTCAACGAGAAGAAGGCGACATGCGGCACGGTCTGCCTCAAGTATCTGCTGTTTACCTACAACTGCTGCTTCTGGGTGAGATGCACTGTATTCTTCCTGCATCCCTGTTCTTCCTCCTCCTGGAGTCTTGGCGTAGGGCCTTGGTCCCAGCTGCCAGACCCAGGCCAAATGTGGTGACCCATACACATTTCCTACAGCTGGCCGGCCTGGCTGTCATGGCAGTGGGCGTTTGGACACTGGCCCTCAAGAGCGACTACATTAGTCTGCTGGCTTCAAACACCTACCTAGCCACAGCCTACATCTTAGTGGTGGCCGGTGTTGTTGTCATGGTGACTGGAGTCCTGGGCTGCTGTGCCACTTTCAAGGAGCGACGGAACCTGTTACGCTTGGTCAGCAGGGCCTGGTGGCACATGGTGGGAGTGGTGGGACTGGGGATGTCTGGCATGGGTTTCGCAGGGGCCCATGGTACTGGTTCTAGGACTTGATTCTGGTTAAGTATGTTACTGCAGGCTGTCCCCGTTGAACTCACTGGGGCATCCCCTAGCTGGACCAGCTGAGGGCATACACCAGGTCCAGAGAAGTATCAGAATCCAGGTGGCCCCAGCCTGTAGCTAATTGGATTCCTCCTGCTTGGTCTCTTGGGTTGGGACTTGCTTTGTGGTGCTCTGGCACTATGGAACCCCAATTTACTGGGTCCCTGCTTCCTAGTACTTCATCTTGCTCCTCATCATCTTCCTGCTGGAGATCATTGCTGGCATCCTGGCCTATGTCTATTACCAGCAGGTAAGGGCCTGCACTGGCCATAGGGTATATCCAAAACAGGTGTGCACATGGGCACGCGGGTCCCAAGGCTGACTTAGCACTTATGGGGAGGCAGGTAGGCATAGGGTGTAGAGGGTCACTCATTCCAGGCTGGCCTTGCGCTTGCCCGCCTGGTGACTCCTCTAGTTCTGTCAGTCCCGCTGGGGGCGGGGGGAGGTCCTGACTTCAGCTTTGATCCTACCCACAGCTGAACACAGAGCTCAAGGAGAATCTGAAGGACACCATGATCAAGAAATACCAACAGCCAGGCCACGAGGGTGTGACCAATGCTGTAGACAAGCTGCAGCAGGAGGTGGGTCTCCCCCATAACTCTCCAGTTTCCCAGCATGGTGCCATGTTCTGGTAGGATGCAGGACTCAGCCACATGTCCCTTGTAGTTCCACTGTTGTGGCAGCAACAATTCTGAAGACTGGCAAAACAGTGAGTGGAGCCACTCTGTGAAGGCGGAACGCCGTGCGGTTCCTGATAGCTGCTGTAAGACTATGGTACCCAAATGTGGTAAGCGGGACCACGCCTCCAACATCTATAAAGTAGAGGTAGGTGGGCGCTCAGCAAGGGACTAGACTGACGTGGGTGGCTGGTCTGGCTACATCTTAGGGTAGCCTGGCCCAAAGGGCTGTATGTGGGAGCCAGCAAGGTCCACTACCGCTCTCTCCCCCGCTAGGGTGGCTGTATCAGTAAGCTGGAGACCTTTATCCAGGAGCACCTGCGCGTCATCGGGGCTGTGGGCATCGGCATTGCCTGTGTGCAGGTAAGGAAACACAGGGGTGAAGAGGTAGGAACGCTGGGGTGGCTGGTGGTCCGCAGCCCTGTTCACACCAGCCTGGCCCTCTGCAGGTCTTTGGCATGCTCTTCACCTGCTGCTTGTACAGAAGCCTCAAGCTGGAGCACTACTGACCACGGTGCCAGGCAGGCTGCCAGCCTCGCACTATGAAGCTGGAGCACTACTGACCACGGTGCCAGGCAGGCTGCCAGCCTCGCACTATGTCCTACCCCACTACGAAGTACTACTGAGTTAGACCGCTGACTGCCAGAGAGGTAGCTGTCCTCATGCCATCACTGTGGCCCCTGGTGACCCCACCTTAGGGGTGGCTTCAAGTGCCTTTCACTGCATACCAAAGTCCCAAGGCTTGAGGCCGTGTACTTGCCCCAGCGTAAGAGGGGCAGGTATGCCAGTGTTGGGCTAGGCCTCGCTGGTAGAATAGGTTTTAGATTATTTGACAAAAGTGCCTCTTGCTCACAGGCTACTTTCCTGCGGGTACCTGTGATTTACAGTAAGTTTGGGGAGAGCTTGGGTATACCACCTGCATGGTGGGTAGAAGCGGATGGGAAGGGACTTTTCTGGGTGAGCTAAACCAATGGGGCAAGTTGAAGGGAACTCCATCCAACCCCACTGTATATGCCCTGTCCTCTCCA